TTTGGACCAAATAATTTCTTCACAAAAAAACCCAAAAAAAACACTTCATCTCCTTCCGCAAAAGATCTTTAGATAATGTGATCATTATTTCATGATATGATTAATGATATAATATGGTAAAATGTATCTGTATAAGAGAAAAAAAATCAAAGAAAATATGTAAAGATCTTTAACAGTGGCGTTTTTAATCGGTGAAAGTTCTGATCTATATTTGGTTCAAATTACTACGTCTCGTATTTCAATACTTTAAACTGAGTCTGTAAGAGTTTTCTCCCCTTGTCCATCATTGCGTAGTTTCATGCTCGCTACTTATTGAATGACTGTTTGATAACTGTCCTTGATCAAGTAGGCTTTGTGTTTTCTTTGTCTCAATGGAAAGTCTCCAAGTGAAAGAGAATGTTGATTTATACTAAAATAGCCGTCAGCAGCTGTGCCTAACAAGTTTATAGATAGATTCCCAATGCGACAGCAGCTGTGCCTAACAAGCTTGTAGATAGCTTCCCAATAGGCAATACAGTCTCTAGATAATGGCCCGATTAGTACAATACAAGTGCTTCGTGAATATAGCATATTGAACATCAAAAATTAAAACCGTATATACATATTATTCACATTAACCAGAAACTGAATAATTATATAGGTCTTTAACCATCGTTATAATATCGGGAGAAGGAGAGATACACAAGGGACTTGCATAAGTCTGTGATTACACGCACAGGAAATAACACAATCTCATTTTATTTTTTTGTATAATTAATAATGATAATAACAAATTGTAATAATAATATCATAATTATTTATTTATATTATCTATATAACATTTATTTATTTATTTTTTATTTAATCGTAAACTTTCCAATAATCTTACGGAACAATTTTTGTTTGCAGGGTTGTCTGGTCAAGGTCACTGTCACTATTATTAAAAAGATTATTGTCTGCTCTGTAGCAGCTTCATTCCTTGAAGGATTTCCATCGATTTGAAACACTACTTAAGGACCATAATATCAGACAAGTTTCAATTGTTTTAGCAATACTCTGCTTGTTATATATATTTTTATTGAAAATTATGATTAAGGGATGGGCTATTATGACCCTTACTTAACAACATGTTCTTTATTATTCACTGCCATTCTGTACTGATATACCACCTCCTTTATTCCATTATTTGAATCCTTCATACACAGCATCCCTGAGTGCTCTCGGCACTTTGATAATGGGTGGTCAAGACATTTGAAATGTTATCAATTTGTGATATTATAAACGGTGGTTTGACAACTTTGGGGCCCAGAAAATTAGAATGGTCAAACCAAACCAGGAAATTAACAAGAGGCCCAATGGGCCTGCATCGCTCACCTGTTATTAATCTAACACTTGTAATCTTAAGATTTCATAAGAACCTATTAAAAGATTTAAACATATGACGCCTCTGACCTTGATTGTCGAACAAGGACATTAGGTTGAAAGTGGATCAAGGTCATTCATTTGAACTAACATGGTAATCCTT